AACCTTAGCATGTGTATTGGAGGATGAACTCTAGAGGTAGACGCATTCGTGATCGAGATGAGGGACTTTGACCTTATTCTCGGCATGGATTGGTTGGAGAGATATCACGCAGACATCCAATGCTGTGATAGAGAGGTGACGTTGCACTTAGCCGATGGAGACCACATCACATTCTTCGGGATGAGGACGAGGACTTTACCGCGCATCATTTCCATGGCGAAGGCGACTAAGTGCCTACGGAGGGATGATTGTCAGGGCTATCTAGTCACTATACTCGGGGAACCTTCGGAGGAGAGCATGCCCGGAGATGTACCCGTAGTGAGAGATTTTGTGGACGTCTTTCCGGATCAGCTACCGGGAGGACCACCTAGTCGTCAGGTGGAGTTCACGATCGACCTGTTGCCTGGAGCTGGGCCAGTGTCGAAAGGGTCGTATCGTATGGCGCCGAAGGAGCTTCAGGAGTTGAAGGATCAGATTCAGGAGTTGTTGGGTCTCGGCTTCATCCGGCCGAGCGTTTCACCTTGGGGAGCACCTGTCCTCTTTGTGAAGAAGAAGGACGGGACACTGCGCATGTGCATCGACTACCGGGACTTGAACCGGTTGACAGTGAAGAACAAGTATCCACTCCCCAGGATAGAGGACTTATTCGACCAGCTGAGAGGTGGCCGTGTGTTTTCCCGGATAGATCTTCGTTCAGGTTACCATCAGTTGAGGATTCGGGAGTCTGACGTTGCGAAGACCGCGTTTCGTACCCGATACGGTCACTATGAGTTTGTCGTGATGTCGTTCGGCTTGACCAATGCGCCGGCGGTATTCATGGCGGCTTGAGGAGTTACTCAGAATGTTGCCAAGATATCAGTATCTTTGGTCTCGTATTCAGGAGTATAATAAGTCAATTTGTACTCTTTAACACCCGCTTTGAATCCAACAAAAGTTTGAGTCTCTGTTTGTGGTGACTTAAATCCCTCCCTACAACTCATGAATTAAGAATTCTGACAACAACAAGGTCTACTCGACACGAATGAATTAGGCCTTAATGGAAACCCTCCACAGGAATGTTTCACCAACTTCCCAACTAATACTAATATTATCCACTAATCAGAATGTTTGAGTATTAGACCGTGGTATTTGATTTACCAAACACATCATTATTGTATACCCTTTCGTATACATCGCGCAACCCTATTTTTCTTTTTTGCCTTTTTTAGAATCGCAATACCTAACCTAATTAATAAGAAATTCCCACTTGTCAGTGGTATATGTTGTAGGTAGATAGAAATCCTAGATGTGAAAATAGGCGCCAGTTTTCTGTGAAATGGAAATGAAAGGGTATAAAAAAATGAAAAAAAAAAGAATAGGCTGTTAGGTATAAAACAATATGCTGAAATTCAAAATAAGAAGGGCCAAGAAGATAGAAATTAAGATAGAAATAATGAATTGTAATGTAAATGATTCGGGTTCTAATTCTATAGAATATTCTATCGAATATAGATGGGATTGTCTATAATGATAGATAAAAAAATGAAAAACTTTCTCAAGATGTTTACTCATTCACTTGAAATTTTCAAAATAGTTCGGTTAAGCGTGCAAATTCACTCATTGAATAAGTAAAAAATAGTTGAATTGGATTGGATGGCACCTACGAAATCGAGTGTTAACTCCCATTTCTTATTGAATTAACTGATCAACGTGCTCTCGGACATTTCTTTTGAATTCATAAATTTTCCAATTTCGACCTATTTATTATTATTATTATTATTAATTATGACAATTAATCTTACTATTTCCGGTTCTGAGGTTTCCACGCTTGAAAAAAAAAATCCGGGGCATATTGTCCAAATCATTGGTCCGGTACTAGATGTAGCCTTTCCGCCGGGCAAGATGCCCAATATTTATCACGCTCTGGTAGTTAGAGGCCGAGATACTGTTGGTCAACCAATTAATGTGACTTGCGAGGTACAACAATTATTAGGAAATAATCGAGTTAGAGCTGTAGCTATGAGTGCTACAGAAGGTCTGATGATAGGAATGGAAGTGATTGATACGGGAGCTCCTCTAAGTGTTCCGGTCGGTGGAGCGACTCTGGGACGAATTTTTAACGTGCTTGGAGAACCTGTTGATAATTTAGGTCCTGTAGATACGCGTACAACATTTCCTATTCATCGATCTGCGCCTGCCTTTATACAGTTAGATACAAAATTATCGATTTTTGAAACAGGAATTAAAGTAGTAGATCTTTTAGCACCTTATCGCCGTGGGGGAAAAATAGGATTATTTGGGGGAGCTGGGGTTGGTAAAACGGTACTCATTATGGAATTGATTAACAATATTGCCAAAGCACATGGGGGCGTATCTGTATTTGGCGGAGTGGGTGAACGTATTATAATGAAGAAATGAAAGAATCTGGGGTGATTAATGAAGAAAATATTGAAGAATCAAAAGTGGCTCTAGCTTACGGCCAGATGAATGAACCACCGGGAGCTCGAATGAGAGTTGGTTTGACTGCCTTAACAATGGCGGAATATTTCCGAGATGTTATTAAACAAAACATACTTCTATTTATTGACAATATTTTCCGTTTTGTCCAAGCAGGATCCGAAGTCTCAGCCTTATTGGGTAGAATGCCTTCCGCCGTCGGTTATCAACCCACCCTGAGTACTGAAATGGGCGCTTTACAAGAAAGAATTACTTCTACCAAAGAAGGGTCCATAACTTCTATTCAAGCAGTTTATGTACCTGCAGACGATTTAACCGACCCTGCCCCTGCTACGACATTTGCACATTTAGATGCTACTACCGTACTATCAAGGGGATTAGCTTCCAAAGGTATCTATCCGGCAGTAGATCCGTTAGACTCAACTTCAACCATGCTTCAACCTAGGATCGTTGGTGAGGAACATTATGAAACTGCACAAAAAGTTAAGCAAACCTTACAACGTTATAAAGAGCTTCAGGACATTATAGATGTCCTTGGATTGGATGAAGTATCCGAAGAGGATCGTTTAACAGTAGCAAAAGCTCGAAAAATTGAGCGTTTCTTATCATAACCCTTTTTTGTCGCCGAAGTATTTACTGGTCCTCCAGGGAAATATGTTGGTCTATGAGAAAGCATTAGAGGATTTAAATTGATCCTTTACGGAGAATTAGATGGTCTTCCTGAACAGGCCTTTTATTTGGCAGGTAATATCGATGAAGCTGCCACAAAGGCTATGAACTTAGAAATGGAGAGCAATTTGAAGAAATGACCTTAAATCTTTGTGTACTCACCCCTAATAAAATTGTTTGGGATTCAGAAGTGAAAGAAATCATTTTATCTACAAATAGTGGTCAAATTGGTGTATTACCAAACCATGCTCCTATTGCTACAGCTGTAGATATAGGGATTTTGAGAATACGACTTAAAGACCAATGGTCCACGATGGCCCTTATGGGTGGTTTTGCTAGAATAGGCAATAATGAGATCACTTTTTTAGTAAATGATGCGGAAAGGGGTAGTGATATTGATCCAAAAGAAGCTTAGCAAACTCTTGAAATAGCATAAGCTAATTTTAGAAAAGCCAAAGGAAAGAGACAAATAATTGAGGCAAATCTATTTCTCCGGCGAGCGAGAACAAGAGTAGAGGCTGTCAATGCGATTTCATAACTAATTAGAACCTTCGAAGAATCAAAAGAAGTTCTATTTTGAAACACTATTTGAATTGGATTCACTCGACATAATCCAATCAAGCAGAATCCTATTTTGATACAGGGCAATTAAAAAATGAAATCGAAATAAATAAAAAATCTATAAAATTATATTACAGAAGAGGGTGAAACAAAAAACTTATTAGATACCGCAGGCGACGGTATCTAATAAATTCTACCTACTATTGGATTTGAACCAATGACTCTCGCTGTATGAAAGCAATACTCTAACCACTGAGTTAAGTAGGTCATTAATCATCCTAACGAGAACCAAAGGGAACCCGTCCCGTCAATGAATTATAAATATCATATTCCTTATAAGCAATAAATAATAATCAATATTACTCAAAAATTGTTGATCTTGGATCATATCATATTCATCTTGACAACAAATTATATAATATATATGATATAATATGCATCACAGTTATTTTACTTTTTACTAAGGGCTATAGCTCAGTCGGTAGAGCACCTCATTTACACGCGCGCCAATGTTTTTCTGGGGAGTCCATCATACAATCCACAAAACGGATCTTATTGAGAAATCAATGTCTTACTCCATAACTTGGGGAACAACAGCCGTACAAAGGCCTGGGTCTGATTTTGGTGTCCATTTAGGTACCAAACAGACTCCACCCTTGATTCAAGATATTGATAGGGTGAATACCAGCCCATTCAATGTTAGGCATAATGAGTATAAGGTCCTCAAAAATCTCTTTTCGTCTTATGAACTTTAAGGTGTATGAAGTCTCAGATTTTACGAACGAGGGAGAATTTAACTTAAAAGATCTAGGCCAGAGGCAGACCTACGTCAAGATAACCCCCACCCTAAACACTTTGGTAGTGCTCCTGAGCAGAATCCCAAATAATGAATCAGAGCACATGGAGCCATCTCCTTATCTTATTTTTCGGTCAAGAAAAAATATGGTGAATTGACTGATATTTCGATCAGTTAATGAAAGAGCCCAGTGCAAAAAAAAATATGCATGTTGGGTCTTTGAAACAGCTCAGATCATTTTGATAATAATAAGTTTGATCTATTTTACCGAGAAAATCTACAGTTCGAGTCCGTATAGCCCTTGATAAATGAAGAAATGAAAATTGGGCAATTTTTTATTTCCAATTTTCATTTCTTCATTCTTGTTTGTTATTTGTAACTGAAACCGTTGGTTCATCGAACCCCAATTTTTTTCATAGAAACTCACTCACCGACATCGTTTAAAGCAGAACAGAAAAGGGAAGGAAAACGTATTGCAAGAGATCAACTCGGCCCTTGACCAATCGTGGATAAACTTTGGTCATTAATATTCGTAGGGAAATTCCATATGAATTTTTCTGTCCACAATCAAGGGATTAAGTTAGTGATTCCTTGGTATACCTGACTTAAGAAGTCAAAGACACGAGCCTAGTGAAAACCAAAACCCGAAAGAGTTATTTACATAGATCTGGGGAATAACCCAATATATTTGTGGACAACCCTAGGTTTGTTGAAAAACGAATCTCTTGCGTAAGTTTCATTAGCAACGGTGTAAAATAATCTTTTTCGTCATATAGACCTAGCAAAGTACAACAAAAACAAAAAAAGGGAGTAGTCTTCTTTTTCTTGTATTCAATCAAGAGAAAACCCCACCCCCAGAGTCTAATAAAGAGAATATACCAGGACTAAGATTAAGATATTCGAAATCGGGAGATGGAAATACTTATATATTCTCTTCCGTTTGAATACTTGTTCTATTCTTAATCATTACTAAAAAAACGACAAAAAGACCTCACGATTCTATTACTCAAAAATTGAAGTAGACTAAAAATAGGATCCCGATTTTACTTTGATCGCTATGGACTAGTACCATGATCGAGTCCTAGACAAGCGGATCTAATTTTAACAGCCAGAACAGTAACAATGAAAATGGCCCTCTCCTTAGTGAGATTATATGAGCAAATGCCCGAACCAAAATATGTTATTGCCGGGGGAGCCTGTATAATTCCAGGAGGGGTGTTCAGTACCGATTCTTATAGTCCTGCTGGGGGAGTCAATAGGCTAATACCTCTGGATGTCTATTTGCCAGGTTATCCCCCCAAACCGGAAGCAGTTATAGTTGCTATAACCAAACTTCGTAAGAAAGTATCTCGAGAAATCTATGAAGATAGAATTAGGTCTCAACAAGCAAATCGGTGGTTTACGACCAATCACAAGTTTCATGTTGGACGCAATATGAATAATGGAAATTATGATCAAAGATTCCTCTATCAATTGCCATCTACTTTCGAAATCCATACTGAAACCCTTTTCAAATAGAAAACTTCTTGGGAATTAGTAAATTAGGCAGCACTCCTTTGGACAGAATAACAAGTAGCGGGTCAATCTTCATCAATTTAATCGAGAATATGAAATAGTCCAAATAAAAATAAAAATGTGGGAGATAAAAAAGATGCGGGGTCGTTTGTCTGCTTGGCTAGTCAAGCATGGGATAATTCATAGATCTTTGGGTTTTGATTATCGAAGAATAGAGACTTTACAAATAAAGTCTGGGGATTGGCATTCCATTGCTGTCATTTTATATGTATATGGTTACAATTATTTACGCCCCCAACGTGCCTATGATGTAGCACCTGTCGGGCTGTTAGCTAATGTGTATCATCTAACCAGAATAGAATATGGTGTGGATCAACCGGAAGAAGTATGCAGAAAAGTATTTGTCTCGGGGAGGAATCCTAGAATTCCGTCTTCTTTCTAGGTTTAGAAAAGCATGGATTTTCAAGAACAAGAATCCTATGATATGTTGGGAATCTCTTATGATAATCATCCGCGCTTGAAACGTATCTTAATGCCTTAAAGTTGGATAGGATTGCCCTTACGTAAGGATTATATTGCCCCTAACTTTTATGAAATACAAGATGCTCATTGAACGATAAGAAGGTAATTTCCACTTAATACTTAATACAATTTCAGAGGTTCGGGGATTGGACTTTTTGTTCTAGATTAACCAGAATAGTTAAGTCTTTTTTGGATTAGGAAATTGTGGGTAGGCTAACAAAAAAGGCAGAATTGGGGATTTGTTGGGATTCTTATAAAGATACTTATTTCGTATGAGACGAATCAATAGGATGAATCAAAGGAGTTCTACAGCGTGCACCTTGTATTGTGGCTTAGACTGGTTCTAGAAAGTCATGTCGAGACGAATTAGAAAATCGAATAGGAACGAAAATACAAAGAAATGAAGGGGGTATCAAATTGGATTTATTTGTATCTGGACCGAATCTTGTCTATCTCAACTTCGACTTTTTCTTCTTTCACGCAACCAATTTAACCCTTCAAATTCAAAGAAGTATTTAGATTTCTTTTGAACGAAAGAAAAAAAAGAAAAACTTCATACAAATGAAACATGTGTCAGAAACCAGATTTGAACTGGTGACACGAGGATTTTCAGTCCTCTGCTCTACCAGCTGAGCTATCCCGACCATTCCCAACGTAGGATCCCGCCCGCATTTATTAGATGACTACGGTTCTATGTCAATTAAAGGGCCAAAGGGAGATTACAAAATTTTCTCCAAGTCTTGCAATTTCTTGGATCTTTAAAAAGACGACTTTCTAACTTTCAATATGAGGAATGTTATTGGTTGTGAATCATTTAAAGACGAATTCCTTGCTTAATTTGGATGTGTATTCTATATACCATGTGGTGGGATAAAGTCAATTACACTCCACTCCGTTTGTCTCAAAAAGAATCAGAAATTTGGAACCGCTAACGAATAACGAGGATAGGATAAAGATTTTAAGAAAAAAATAGGCTTTTTTTGGGG